TGCATGTTGTAAAAAGTCGGTACTTCTGACTAAAGTCAGAGTATTAAGCTCTCTGGAAACCATAAGGATCAACAGAGCAGGAGAAAAGAGATAGTAGGTAAAAAGGAATAGCAAAATTTAGAAACTGGAAAACAGTAGCTGTTCTAGCAACTTGAGAAATTGGAAGGCTTGATGTCTGCATGGTGAGAAGTCAAGAAGCCAACCACTATTCTTTAGTAAAGCTGCTAAAATATATATTTAAAAAAGGGGGGAAAGAAGCAAGCAGAGGAGGCACCAAATAAGCTCTGTAGATAGAGCTGAATTTAGAGCTTAAAATGGCTGGGGAGGGGTCAGTAGACCCCTTTATTCCTTCCTCCACTTTGTTACAACTACCTCCTCTTCCCAGCAAAAGACAGGAGATTTATTCCTGGGAGACACTAAACCCAAAGGATTCTGAATATGAGGGAGAGGAGCAAACGGAAAAACAAGAGGCTCAAGTTGAAGTCCACATCCTCAATGATGACATTGAGGCCGCCAGCTGCCTTCCATTCAGGTGTCAGTATTTTGGCGGCAGGTTTATAAATCCCCATAGGATTATTGTGAGAATTAAATGAGTTAATACCTGTAGTGTGTTCAGAATGGTGCCTGGCAAGAGTTAATGCTTAATATTATTATTAAATTAAACATCTAAATAATTCAAAGTGGCTACATTGGTAGATTCAGAGACAAATGGGGAGAAATGAGGGAGGGCACTGCTATTTTTCATGATAAAGTTTCAGGACTATAGGCTTGTTAAATTATGTACCTTTATAAAATGTTTTTGCTCAGCACCAGTAGCTCAGTGGCTAGGACACCAGCCACATAAACCCAGGCTGGTGAACCTGGCCCGGGCCTGCTAAAAACAACAATGACAACTACAATAAAAAATAGCCAGGTGTTGTGGCAGGTGCCTGTAGTCCCAACTACTTGGGAGGCTGAGGCAAGAGAATCACTTAAGCCCAAGAGCTTGAGGTTACTGTGAGCTGTGACACCATGGCACTCTACCAAGGGCAACATAGTGAGACTCTATCTCAAAAAAAAAAAAAGTTTTAAGTAGAAAGTGAAAGTCTCTTCCCTTTTCCTGCATTATACATAAATTCTAGAATGGGCTTTAGTCACATGCCTGTTCTTGTGGCTAGCAGCCCCACCAAAATTACAGGAAATGAGTAGTAATAGGAAGCTGCTGTCCAAAATGGGTAGGGTAGGGTGGTTTTCATGTTGCAAGAATGTTTGGGGAAAGGGCACTACATAGATGACAATTGCAGCTGGTTATCACTTTACAGTTAGCAGTTCCCAGTTGCTTATTAGAGGTGTGCAGATGTACAAAGCTTTTTTTAAGAAATAGGATCATTCTATGTGTTTAGCAACATTTAAGAATACAGTATATATACATACATAGTGCAGAGGGACTTAGAAAAATTAGGAAGACTACATGATACTAATTCTAATAATTTAACAATACTTGTGTTGAAATAGGAGCTAAACATATACAAAGATGTTTTTTAAAACTCTCTGGAGGTAGAAACAATTTCTACCTAGTTTTTCTAGAAACGGCCAATGTCCTTAGCTTCTAGTATCAATAAAGTCTTGGGCCTGGAGAAGGTTGTAAAACTCGCCAAAATCAGAATTACTCATGTCAGTAAATAGAACTTCTAATCGTCTTTTAGTTTCCTGCCTTGCTCCAAAGACAAGTGTTAACAAGCCATTCTCCTGACTTTCAGCTTGCAGTGAAGACTTTAGCACAGAATGTGACTTGTCCAGAGAGTTCAACATGCAAGCTTGCGTGATATTTAGAGGCTTATTATGACCCATCTCAACCTTCCCCTTTCCAAAATGACTTCTCTTTTTTGAGTCATTAATCGTGAATATGCATGTGTGTACTATCATTTATTCCAAGGTGTTTCTACTTAAGGTGATTAATCCAAGTGCAGTTAAAATGATGCTGACCAAATTAATTCCATTTTAAAGCTTAGTTGTTAGCCAAATGCTCTGTAAAATCTTGCATATAAATTACCTTAATGCCTTTTTTTTTTTTTTTTTGAGACAGAGTTTCACTCTGTTTCCCTGGGTAAGTGTTATGGCATCATAGCTCACAGCAACCTCATACTCTTGGACTCAAGCCATTCTCTTGCCTCAGGCTCTAGAGAAGCTAGGTCTATAGGTGCCTGCCACAACACCAGCTAGTTTTTTTAAATTTTAGTAGTGATGGGGGTCTCACTCTTGCTTAGGCTGATCTCCAACTCCTGAGCTCAAGCAACCCACCCACCTCAGCCTCCCGAGTACTAGGATTTCAGGTGTGAGCCGCTGTACCCAGCACCTTAATACTTTAAAATATCTGGTACCTGAAATAATTACTCTGCTTCATTTGTTTGAAATTGTTTGAAGACACTGGCTTCTAAGTAAAATTGAGTACCTCCTCCCCCATTCTTTGCTTACTAGAATTATACTGTTAAAATGCAGGGGACAATAAGTTCCTGAGGGGAAATCCCTTTGAGAAGCAGATCTAGGACCCTGTGAGATGCTCAGAAATTAACAAATTATTTTTTTATAAATAGTAAACTGCTTTACTTTGTAGAGCACTTTTAGGTTCACAATGAAATTGAACCACACATCTACAGGCTCCTGCATTAGCAACATTCTCCACTGGAGTGGTACGTTTGTTACTGCTGATGAAGTACATTGACACCTCATCACCCAGAGTCCGTAGTTTACAGTAGGGTTCTCTCTTGGTGTTGGGCAGTCCCTGGGATTAGACAAATTGATAATGACATGTATCCACGACTGTAGAATCATACAGAATAGTTTCGCCACCCTAAAAATCCTCTGGGCTCCCCTGTTCTTCTCTTCCTCTCCTCTATCCTGACAACCTTTGTTTTTTTTTTATCATTTCCATAGTTTTACCTTTTTCAAAATGTCATATAGCTGAGATGATATAGTATGCACCTTTTCAGATCAGTTTCTTTTACTTAGTAATATGCATTTAGAGTTTCTCTGTGTGTCTTTCTGTGGCTTGATTGCTCATTTTTCAATGCTAAATAATCTTCCATTTTTCAGATGTACTACAATTTATATATCCATTCAACAAGTTTTAGCAATAATGACTAGAGCTACTATAAACAACCATGCGTAGGTTTTATGTGGATATATGTTTTCAACTCATCTGGGTAAATACCAAGTATGGTGGGCGTATTGTATGATAGGAGTATGTTTAGTTTTGTAAGAAACTATTAAACTGTCTGCTAAAGTGGCTGTATCAGTTTGCATTCTTGGCAGCAGTGAATGAGAGTTCCTACTGCTCCACATCCTCACCAGCATCCCCCTAGTGATGTCAGTCTTCTAGATTTCAAGCATTTAAATAGGTGTGTACTAGAATCTCACTGATGTTTTAGTGAGTTTGCAGTTTTAGGGAATTTGCAGTTCCCTAATGACATATGATATGGAACATCTTTTTATATGTTTATTTGCCATCTGTATATCTTTGGTGAGTTGTATCTGTTCAGTTATTGTGCTCATTTTTC